CGAATTTGCCGAACGCAGTTGCGCTTAAATAGGGCGACGAACAGTTTACCACAAATGCAAGAGGGGCAGCAGAATTATGTATTTTTAACATTTGAAGGAACCTAGTATTTCTGTGCATTGTCCAGCAAATGATTTATTTATATTTTCAGTTTGTCACAAAAAGTTCATTGACAATCGTAATGTTTTCCCGTTTTGAGTGAATGCTAATAGAAACTGTAGACGTATTTATTATATATCTACCTTTTGAATCTGGAACCAGACCGAGGTATTACGTTACGAGTCGTTCACCAAGCTGCTGTGGCTGCATGTATTGTTGCTTCTTCAACAAAATTGTGTTTTACCTAGTGTTGATCTCCGTGTAATCCTTACTACCACTCTAAAATCATGAAATAAAATATCGATCTTTCTGCATCTATGCCTACTAGTAATTTTCATATAATTGTGTATCTGTTTTAGTTTGAGTATTGGTTCTCTACTTTTTTCTATTGGTTCAGCTAGAGAAAAGGCATCGAATGGCAGGAATCTTGAGAATATCCGGAAAAAACACGGAAAAAAGTCAAGGAATAGTTGAAAACGCATGTTCCAGTTAGGATACACTGATGGGCAAAATTAGAGCACCATCTATAAATTTCAAATAAAATATATTATAAAGCCAACATACTCTTATGAAAACTCAAATCATCGTTTTTTAAATTAATATCAGCACTTTGCGAAAAAAAAAAATAAAACAAAATATAAGTCACTAGTTTATCAAATTTCCGGTAAAAATGTATGAAAAATAGTTGTTGAAATTCAGGTAAAGCTTCTGTCTTTAACCGCTTCAATAGCGTGTATTGCCGCCTCTACCTGGAATAACTTTCTTAAAACGTCTTGGAATGCCATAAAAAAGGTTTGTAATTAATTCTAAGGGTATGTTGTGTCTTTCTTGAAGAACCGCGTTTCCCAGTTCAGCCAAGTTCTCAGGAGTAGGATCTCGTCGTCGAATACGGCAATATCGTGTTTATGTGCAATAGGTGCTACATGGTTTTCTTAAATCTCTTGAACGTCCTTCTGGGAAGTTAATGATCTTTCTCGGATCATCACAAGATCCTTACGGGTCTTCAAAGAAATGCCACCCCAAAACATTATTGAGCCTCCACGGAAAGTCCGTTGGTGAACCATACATGCTTGACTCTATCTTTCTCCTGGTCTTTTCCAATTAAAAGCTCGCCCATTCGAAGATTTTAAACCCACCTTAACTTCATCAGCTAACAAGGCTTTCTTTCAATCATCCAAATCCCAATGCACGTGTTCTCGAGCACACTCAAGCCTACCTTGCTTGTGGGCTATGATTATGAGAGCACTGTGCGAACGAGCTTTCGGTCCTGCTGTTTTTTATATTTTTCAAATTTTAAGTGGAAAATGACAATTGCTGACTCCAAAATAATTATTATTTTTTCGTAAAAATAATTGCATCCCGCCGTGAGTTACACCATACCCTCACGAAGGTTGACGGACGGGAGAGAAAGTCCTACCCGATTTAAGTGTTACGCTGAAAAGGCTTTCACAACTACCTATACATTTTGTTGAAAACCAATTACCGAAATTGTTAATAGTGAGAATGTTATGAAGCGTTAAAGTGAGTACAGTATTTGTTTTAATTTTAAGGGTAATACAAAATCAATGATCAAATACATTACCACTGGAAAATTATACAGGTTGTCCCATGAGAAATGACAAAAAAATCAATAGAGATTGCTGTGCAGGGAGTCAACAGGTTTTTTATGTTCTTTTAAACAAGTCATGAGCAACTTGATGTTTGATGATTGACTAAAATTAGGCATTTATGGGCAAGCGCGGCTCCAGGGGAGGCGAATCCCCCCTTGTGCTAGGTTCATGTCAACTAACGATAATTTTTCTAATTTCATAGACAACAAAAGACTTAAGTGCTACTACTTTTTAGGAGTTCTAGAGAGTGGCCAATTTAATCAATAAGTGAGTTTTAAGTCAACTCATAGAAGGCGCCCCTTACAGCAAATGATTTGGTAGAAATCGCCCTAAGTTGACACCTAACTTTTTCTGATACCGACCCCCGAATATCTGTTTTTAAATACTTTCTAGACAGAAAAGGTTTACCGAGTCGTTATCCCTGCGATGAACGGTTTTTTGCAACTAAAGTATTCGGGATGCGTTCACGAAAATAAATTGCCTATTTATAGACGGAATAATAGAGGACACTAGTAAATTAATGCACAATGGCAATATGATGAACTCGAATAAAAAAACCGATGATCTTTAGACGACAAAAGTTGTTCAAAATGATGTTCAATAACTTCAACACGTTTATCAAAGCATCTTCTAATATTAAATATTTATTCGGACATGTAACAGCGGTATTTTGAATTGTATTAATAATTATCTATGTTCCATCGTTTTTTTTAAGTAAAACTTTCAACTGTCAGCATACATAAAAATGTATAGGATTAAAATCAGGACTTGTTGACGTGTTGATTATGGTGTTTGACCATTCAATCCAACGAATCGGAAGAATTGCATTTAACTAATTCCCTGTAGAGAGAAATGCACTAGGGATCCATCCTGAATGAGCATCATAACATGCCTTATTTTTAAAAGTATATCTTCCAAATAATCAAGTAAATCATTTTGCGGAAAATCGAAATGCAAATTTCCATTTAAATTGGATGGTAAATATGAGAGCCGAGAAAATTTATGTCATTAATGCAAAGCGTCAAACTAATTAGAAAGTATTACAGCCTACTGATTTAATTTTTTTCAGGTTCGTACCTATAAGGCTAAATGTATCCCATCGGATGCTTTAATTTCAAATATCTCAAAAACCGTTGATCTCAGAGATACCGACTAGGCAACTTTCTTCTGCGTAGGAAGTAATGCAAACATTTATTCGGGTGTCCGTTGTCACTTGGCAGTACTAGAAAGGAGTTGGCGCGATTTTAAAGCGAATCATTTGCTGCAGGAGCAAATTGGTCACCCTCAAAATCCGTCGAATACCGTGCAAAGCTTGTCACGGTTTTTCCCAATTTGATTAACATTGGTTTGCATTTTTCGGTTAATGAATCTTTTCTAAATATACTTGTTTGCATATTTGCCTATTATAATATTAAAATCAAATTTTTTAGTGGCGTGTTATTTCAGTTACATCCAAGAAATATTTTTCTTAAATTGATCTATTTAATACTAAACCAAAAAGTTCCATATACAATTATAGATAAGATTTGTTTCGATTTCCTGTAGTATTGTCCGGTTGGTTTTTGGCGCATACTAAAAGACAAACACCAACTGTTTTATTCCGATTACAGTAACCTTATCCCATTAATATGTTTAATATACCATAATAACACACTAATATCAGGCTTGGTATAATGGGGTATAATCATATTCCCAGCACAATATGGCAAACTCTACTACTACGTAAACTGGGAATTGAACACAATACCCTGAACAATATGGAAACGTTAATCCGATCAAAAAAGGGCAATATGTGTAGGAAATGGCACTAATATTGAATACATTACCTCTGGGTATTGTTAATTTAATCCCGGATTAGCAAATCTCCCGAAAATGGGAAATATTTTTGTAAAAGGGCTTTTTTTAAATTATTTTACGTCGCGTGTAATACGTCAAACCCGATAAAGATTAATGTCCATAGAAGTGATTTTCAATAACTATCAGTTCAGCTGTGTAGGATTTCGCCGATTTAAGCCGAGTGGCCGTGAACAATAACATAGAGGGCTGTTGATCTTTTAACTTCTCTTATTAAACTTTGTATAGAAAAATGGTATCCAGTAATTAGTATAATAATAAGTCACGCAAGTTTCAGCCTGCTACAATATCTTACAAGTACCAGTTGCGATTTTGAGAGACAAAAGTATAGACATGTAGAATTACATTGTCATTTACAGATGAATTTTGTTTGAAATAACAGGTTTGAATATGATTATGCAATAGGAAACCTAACCGCCTGATAAATTATTCACAGTGCATTAGCGAGACTATGGATGGGACATTGATGATAGCCATCAATGTTGACATGGAAAGGTAATATCGATGTTAGCGAAACATCGAAGGTAGAACATCGATGTTCTGATAGTCTGCAGTTGCATACAAATTTCAAATTGATTAACTTAAACTTAAATAATTTTATTTTACTACTACTATGACCTTTTAAAACACTGCATTTTTTAATAATCGACTAAATTTATTCAACTTAAAGTTGCCTCATTTTGCAGCTGGAATTGGGTCCCTATGCCGCGATATGGTGTTTATTGGCACTATCAGCGGTAGAGTTCGCAGAAAATATTTCTATCTTGTATCAACATCAAATGTCCGATATTTTCATTTCAGGATCGAACATCGATGTTTTATCGATGTCCCAAATTTCCAACATCGATGGTAAAAATATTTTTCTCCCATCCCTAAGCGACCCCTATGAATGAGGAAAAACTTTTTTAAAAGGCAAAAAATTAAACGTAAAGACTTTCCATATTAATGGTTCAAAATAAGTCTATAACATGAACGATTTTAATTCAAAGAACAATAAATTTAAAAACTGCATTTTAAATTCTCATTACAGAAATGTAAAATTATTCAATACCATATGTAGATGTTCTACATATGCGGCACAGTGGGAAATTCGACACTAATTATTGATAAATATATTGACAGCATTAGCATTAAAGCATTAAACTTCAAATTAGTTTTGTATTGTTAGATTGATTGCTGATTTTTAGTCTGATAATCAACTTTGTCGAATTATTGTCTCAGTGAAAATTGCCTAAATTGATATCGGCTGCAGGGCATCCCGCATAGCAAAATAAATTTACATACGCATCCTGTTATTAAAAAACCCCAGTTCCCTGCCAGTTATCAGTGTTTTTCCTGCATGACGCCAAGCCGGAAATCATAAGGGTTGCTGATTCGATTCAAATTAAAGCGTGACAGTGTCGAAACTGTCCAGTCACAATAAACATTCGGTTTATTGACCAAACGTTCAATTGCCAATTAGTGAGTTGAGCCGATTTCAGAATTATTGCATCCGGTTGGTTCACTACCACGTGACTTGAGGAAAACTAATTGCTTCAGCGTTATGCACTACAACGGTTTTATGGCAATGATGAATTGGAAACTTTGTCATAAAAGCCATTAGCGAATGTGTTAGAAACAAAAATTTTATGTTTAGAAAAGATTTATTGCTGCTTTGTCCTGCTGTGTTCTAGCTATGTACAGAGTGTTTCAACGATAGTGTACAGTAGGTAAGTTACATACTCGTGATAGCTATATTTGTTTGAAAACTGTAATCGCCAAATCGTAAAGATAATTAGCGTCCAAAAAATAATGGCAGAAAACTGTTTTATTTTCCTGAGTGCGTGTAATTGTTATGATATTCTTATCTTTCCTGGGCCTTAGTTAAAGTGTGAAGTAAAAATTTCAGTGCTTTGCTCTCCCAAAAAGAAGGATTTTTTTCCTCAAAAACTGGTGAATGTTTTAACACTTTATAAATTATAGTTTTTATATAACATGTTTTAATTGTGAATTAGTGTTTGTAGTTTGTGTAAATTTTAAATTTGTCGCTGTTGTCTCGCCGAAACGTAATGAAATAAACGATTTTCAAAAATGTTTACTTCACACTTTGACTGAGACCCAGGAAAGATAAGAATATCATAAGAAAACTGTTTTAATATAAATAATTTTCTTAATTCCAATAATACTTCAAAACAAAGTTCGATTTTCAACTGATAATGTCTTATCAAAAAAAAATGTTTTCTATATTTATCTCGTACTTGCCAAGTGAGCCCCTATTAGCATTCTGAGTTTGCGGCTGCAACTGAATATTGCCAATCCAGCCAAAATACAGGATTCAACTCTTTCTTGGAACTTCATACGGACACGCTCAAAGATGCCGGAAGTATTTCTTAAAGTGTGGCATCCATCGATTATTCGATTTCTTCTATCGTCTTGATTCTCTAAAGAGGTAGCTAGTGTAGGCAAATAATTTAAAATGTCTCCAGAAGGAGAAAGAAGTCTAATGGATTAACATCTGAAAATCTCGCTAGCTTAAAAATTAAGATGTCATGGTTTGTGCAATGTTTAATAAACTGTTTAATTGAAATTTTTTCGCCGTAATCTTGGTTTTATATGTTACGCTTTAGCTCTATCTCAGCCACTGACTGATTACCGAACTCCAAAAGTTTACTTTTAATGTCCCGTAATTAGAACAAATGGTAAATATTATGTCTAGATTATCTTGCATGGTTTGGAAATTAAGAAAAATATATATATAATTTATTAAACTGTAACGCCTTATAGATGGGAAGCAAAGCATTTTTGACCCCATGTTCGTCTTAACTCTTTCTCATGAAATCAGCTCAGGAATACACCCTTAAAATTTGTGTATACAATTAGGAAACGCACTGTATGAGTAGTGCGGAATTAGATATTTACAGAACTGAGTGTTAGCATTTATTTATGAATATTATTTCTTATTTAGAGCTAATTCCATTTCAGATCCATAGTTTTACAGCATCGAATCAAGGGCTTTCAGACATTTATTACTAATTTTGCTTAACCGTTACCCTCAATGACAATAATTTATGTTGCAGTCTTCAATATCGAATATCATCTAACTAGATAATTTATCTCATTGTAGAAACCAATAATGCGAATGACCAAAAATCTACTTCAAGGGGTGGCAGATGACACCATTACATTTTGAATCTGCCTATTGTCATGTTAATGCCTCTGTTATATTGCCATATACATCGGATTCACGTCCTGCATAACACTTCAGAAAAGCATTGTCAGTGGTATTTATTGTTGACGTTCATTTGATATGACCAAAGTGGTCCTCTTACAAATCACACGTTTTCCTTTATAAGTAGTTTAAAATATTATCAGTATTTATTTTTTTATGTTTCCAGGTTCGTAAATCATCCGGGACATGCCTACGGGGTAATTCAAAATTGAGGTCTTGCCTGTATACTCGTATGTATTACTTTAATTATTAAATTGGAAAGACTAACAATGTTTGCTTCAATTTTAATATGGATGTTAATATTAAAAATATCGTAAAGTTGAATGTTGCCAAAAATAGTTTAAGCTATTAAATCATATCCTATTACTTCGTTGTTCAAATTTTCAGAAAGCTGCGCCATCGACTGTGAATGATCCTGAACATATGATAATTTATTTTACCTTCAGCTGTTCCATAACGACTATAATTTGGCATTCTTTAAAATGTCATAATGATGTTTATTACCGCACTAGTGCTTGTATCAATTTATTACTTAATTTATCTATTTTGCTTACTTTGCTAAAATATACTAATAATCCTTTCTCGCTTGTTAAATTGAGCATCTTTCGTCCACTACACCTTTTCTGGCACCGATCAAAAGCTTCCTGCTATTTCTTCCGTGGTTTCCCTGGCACCAGATCCGAAACAGCAGAAACATCTCAATATCACATGGCAGATCATCGCTTGAACTCGCTATAAAATGTGAAATTTTATAACACAACTTTGACAATGATTCTGATGATAATGACAAATTTTCATGACCTGTGATGTGCATTCAATTTTATAACTCATTATTTTTACTCAAATAATCATTAAAATAATAATTCCTCTAATTGTAGATACAATATTGTAGGTAACACGTAGAATATTATATAATTAACGCACTTATGTGATTACCCGACTCGGCCTACAGCCTCGTTGTGCAAACCTTTACATGCGTGCGTTAATAATATTAATATCCTACTGGTTACGGAAATAACGATTATATATCATAATTTAAGTCATACATGAACTCTTGTATCACTTAACAATTTACGTTCACGCCTCTTCATTTGACTTGATTTCCCAACTGTAGAGGCGAAATGAGTTATTTTACAAGAGTACAATTTTAGAAATATAATAAATTTACAATTTATTAAGCCGGATAATACTAAAGTTAGTATTAACTCCATTTATGCACAATAGGTTTACACATTTCATAATTTTAACACGTTAATAAGTTAATGGTGATCTCTTTCTCTTTATTTAAAAGCGCCCGAGCGGATTGATCTAAAAATGAATGTGATATAAAAATACAGCACAGCAGAACAAATTTGGAAGTACCCTTAACAAATCTGATCCTGACTAAACCGCTGCATGGGCAAATTACTTGTTAAGCAAATTTTATTGCCATTTTGTCGGATCCGTCCCTAAAACGCTTTTTTTCCTATAATTTTCTACCAATTTTACGAGTGGATGAGTTCGAGGCCCAGGTGGACCCTTGATACATACAAAAGTCTCGCGCGGTTATTGTTGCCCTTTTATTAGTTTATTCGATTTTTGTAAAGGATCCCGAAACTGGTGAAGCATTAGGCCGCCTGATATTTGTATGTTTTTGTTATGTTCGCTCACCAGCCACTCATTTCGTCTATTTAGTTTCCACAGAAAGCGTATTATGGAGCCAATAAATACGGAAAGTCAGTCGAGTGGGCATAATTCCAACACGTGTATAATTTGTCGAAAACAAGATTAATGGATATTGGCTTCTATATGTTTGAACGCTTTTCTTGGTTCTTCACTTGGGCTCGATCTCTAGAAGATTATGGTTTGGAACAGTAGGATAAAAATTGGTGGCAAATGCTCTTGACGCAATGGTATTGCTCATTTTTAGTTTTCTAATTCTGTTGTTAATAATTTCATTAAACACATTTTCATATGGATTGGATTTGGCAGTTTTGCAATTTCATTAATCGCTTAGGACACGAAAACTATTTTTTTCGGCTTTTTGCTGGAAATTAGGTTCTATGATTGATGAGTAATTCAAGTAATTTCCAACTATTAGCAAAATAGATTTAATTGAGCTCCAAATCACAATACATCAGTTATTAGTAATAAATGTGATTAAAATTACACATTAATATAAAAGAAATAGTCAAATAATGTAGAAGTATGCCTGTAGAAGTAATAATACATTTTCAAATGCAAACAATTGGTCCAAATTTTGTTTTTATTCATTTTTATTTCATGTTTTGTACAACATACGTATTTGCTTTTAATTTACAAAACACGTCTGGAATTTGTTTTTAAAAAAATTTCATTTGCATAAAATAATGGCAGTCCAGTTCAGTTTTTGTGAAACTACAAGTGGAAACGAACCGAAAGATGGGAAAAAGTTGTGTTTGTAGGAACTGCAGCTTACAATTTTTTTGAAATACAGAATGTGTAAGTGCTTACCCATATTAAAGAGACTGAAGCGAAATTAGTAATACTTTTTTATTTCCCAAACATTGAAATTTTACTTTTGCAAATGTCTCCCTAACTTGTTTTCTGAGCGACGGACCGTCACATCCCATAATAAATAAATTATGGCTGTTTTATGTTAAAAATGTTCAGTAATTAAAACAACTGGGTAAATGCCAAAAAAATACCTAGTTGAAAAGTGGCCTATTTGAAGAATTTTGTGTCTGCTTTTTTGGAGTACCTAATGTAATTGAATATAATAATTCATATACATTCGTACTTACATACAGGATGATTCAAAATTGGCGACATTGGTCTGGTGGTGTTGTAGGGGGTGCTTTAGGTCTGCAGAATGAAAAATGAGTTCCTGTAAAACACCGAGATATTTGCAAAAAAATTGATCAGAATGATGGCAACATTCTTTTTCAAGGTAATATAATCCCTGAATAACATTACGTAATGTTGCTTCCTAATTATTGAAAACTTCAGTATCCATGGAAAAAATCTATGTCACAAAGTGACAATAGAATAGGTTAGTATGAACGGTAAACTCAACATGATTCGTCAAATATAGGAACCTAGTTTTTCGAAATGTCAATATTGTCAACGAGGAATTGTTCTTTTATTACCATTAAAAACTAAAATTGATGTGTTTACAAATACCGTACATTCCAATATACACACATATGTGCTAAACTCCAAGCAAGTTTGTGCCTGTGTAAGCACCTAATTGTGCAGTCTTCTGGAGCAGTTTCTCGTATTTGGTTAATGAATTCCTGCTCAATTTGTAACGGTGTTCAGTTATCCATTCAATGCACGAAATTAATGTGTCCTTGTGCTGTGTGCATCTTACATACGTGGTAGAAATGTATCCCTTCCGCGGTAATTACACAGTGCCTGGAAAAGGGCCAGGTGGTGTGCAATGCTCCGAATATGCGCCAGTTTTGGATCACCCTGTATGCGAAGAAAAGAAAATATTTCGCAAACTGTAAATTTTGCAACAAAAAATGTCTACTTCTATTGTACTTAACCACATGTTTAGATTCGGTAACAGCTGAAAATAAGCATGAAATATCGGAAGAAAATAAATGATGCGAACTAGTATTACACGCCGTGTAGTGAAGTAGTAGAAGCCACTCATTCTGAAGTATAGCGAGACCCAAAAATGCAATCTTTTGTGAGAACCAGCATTCAGAACTTTTATCATTAAACTTACGCTATAAATGGTTTAGTCACACGTATTTGTATTGATGCCCGCAATTGGAAACACTTCGGAGCATTTTCTACTATCTAGTGTTACCCTCGAAAGACCCTTGATATTATTGTGACCGTGTTATTATATCGAGTGGTTCGCAGTGGGGACATTTCGAAAAGTATAAGTAATCAAAGTGGCAAAGCCTGCTGCTGATGTGCAAATTGCAACAATTTGAGCTACATCTAGAAAGAATCGAACTGCTCTTAACATTAAAACTGATATTCATTATCACATAAACAAAAATCATCATTTACTGCGATTTTGTTTAAATTTTAAGTTTAACTTCAAACGCCAATTTTTCGAGAACTGTTAAAGGTAACTATAATATTTGCCACATACAAATAATAAGACTTTTGCAAAGAACTGAATAACGTAACAATAAAGAGGAATTTGGTTAAAAAAAATTGCCTTAATATCATTACTTTTTCTTGAGTTACCCTTTATATATTAAAATTACATCCGATCTGAGCAATATCTGAGATATACTACCTGTTTTTCAAATAATTATACGCTATACATTTTGCATTTTTAATATTTTTCTTTTTATTATGTTTTTGGGCTTTGATTCACATTAGTTCAACTACTTTACCTTGGTTTAACAGTTCTAAGTGATTTTCGATATTTTGCTATTGTACCTACTTGTTAAGTCCTGTTTCAAAGCTATTGTTATTAACTTGAAGAGCCCTTTTACTGTCAAAGATTATACGAATTTTTTTATTCTACTGATATTCACTACAATCAATAAGAGCTTCTAGTATTTGAATCGACCTGTTGTGTTTTCATTGAAATTGTAATATGCGCATCCAGTATTATCATTTAACCTATAAATGTAACCTAATAAATTCCCTGTCCAGATACCTATTTATTGCTTATGAGTTCGAGGAACTTTGATTAAAAGTTTTTGTTGCAATTTTCCTGAGAGGATTCCAAAACCAAATTTATTTCAGGAATACATTTATAATACGATTCCGGAAGCTCCTAAAATGGCGAGATTCCCGGTCTGTTAGTATAATATCTAATTTAAATTTTAAGCTAAGTTAATTAATATTAGATAATAATGGAGTTTGTTTTAACCTCCAAAAATTATTTATGTGCAATAAATGCAAGATTTAATAGAGTCATTAAGTATCTATATTATCGTCAAAATTTAGAAAATTATTTAAATGTTACTTACATCATTTCACCTGGCTACATGAAGACATAGAACAAACATGTGCTTATTCCTGTTGACCCCTGAATGAAAAATCGTGGGTATTGATTTGAATATTTGGGAAACATTTTCCAACGGCGGTTCGAAATGAAACAAATAACACCTAACTTTTTCCTAAATGTGTCATTCTCCGACGGGTCTACTTTAGCTCAAAAGAGTAGCCCACGTCCTGATAATATTCACCATTGTGCAAATGTGACTTTAGAGTTCGGCAACATTTCTTTCACGAACATGCTGTATATTTTTCAAAATGATTTTTCCAAAATGTTGCAAAACATTTCTGTTTCTTTAAAGCAAAATACTTATGTGGGTTCAGAATTTCAAGGCTCCTAAGCACTTTGTGTTAAATCTCAAAATCTATTTAAAACGAGAACTAGAAGGCCGATATGATATGGTATATCAAATTGCACATACTACTGGAGAAGAGATGCGACAAAATTCGCCATCTTAGACTTTGTTTGGACGTACCCCTTTTCCTTTTACATACGCGGAGGTGCAAAAGAGTTTTAGGAAGGAAGCAAAGTAGGAAAACTAGATTATTTTATATGTACAGTTCCGAAAAAGTT